GGCGGGTGCTGGCGGCGGCCCTGACGGAGTCGGGGGCTGCACAGCTGCGGGCGGCCGCCTCGTCCCGGCTGCAGACCCTTGTCCTGGACGTCACCTCCAGCCAGAGCATCGCTGCCGCCACCGCCTGGGTTAAGGGACAGGTCGGAGACCGAGGTATGGTCCGGCGCCCGGGTGCAGCCACGGACGGGAGTGGGGTGTCCCTGCGCTCCCCGCTCACCCCGTCCGCTCTGCGCAGGGCTCTGGGGGCTGGTGAACAACGCGGGCATCGCCCTGCCCACGGCCCCCAATGAGTGGTTGCGCAAGGAGGACTTCGTGCGGGTGCTGAACGTCAACCTGGTGGGGCTGGTGGAGGTGACGCTGAGCTTCCTGCCCCTGGTGCGGCGCGCCCGCGGCCGGGTGGTCAATGTGGCCAGCATCATGGGCCGGCTCGCCTTCTTCGGTGGTGGTTACTGCCCCTCCAAGTACGGCGTCGAGGCCTTCTCCGACAGCCTCCGGTAAGTCCTGCTCAGCAGACCCAGGGGCTGGTTACCCATGTCCCAGGACAGACTTGAGGTGATAGCTGGGGGTCACGCTGCTTTGCTTTGAGCCCATCCCACAAAACGCTGGACGGTGGCTCGTGTGCCGTGGCGGGGCACATCCTACAGCAGTGCCAGTGCCTGCGGGGAAGGATGCCCACGAGCACAGCTCCCACTTCCCACACGGCTCCGGCTCCCTTCCAGACTGGAGATGCGCCACTTTGGGGTGAAGGTCAGCATCATTGAACCGGGCTACTTCAGCACAGCCATCACCAACGCCCAGATCCTGAAAGATAATTTCCAGTGCATCTGGGAGAGGCTCTCGGATGAAACCAGAGCAAGTTACGGAGAGGCTTACTTCAAAAGCTGTGAGTACATCCGCCAAAAAGTTAAAGCTGCTGCTCCCTTCCTGGAGTCCAAGTGAGACCCTGCATCCAGCTGCCCTGCTGAGCTGTGCCTGGCACAAAGGAGGCCAGACTCAGCCGGCCTGACTGCCTCTTTTTGTCTCTGCAGTTTTAAAGTTAACGCAGGAATTGCTGAAGATGTGCAGCTCCAACCTGTCCTTGGTCACAGACTGCATGGAGCACGCGCTGACCAGCCGGTACCCCCGCGCCCGCTACTCGGCAGGCTGGGACGCCAAGCTGCTCTACCTGCCCCTCCAC